CACTGGTTGTTTCAGCTGTTTTTCAATATAGCTCACAGCAAAACATTCCAGTTGAAGCAAAGAGTGTATTGATTCACACTCTATCACAAGCTCCTTATTTTTTAAGAAAGGACCTTTGAAACACATTACATTAGATTATAGGTGATGTTGTACAGTGACATTAAAATAACCTTGTCTGAAACAAGATAGAAATGTGATTGTCACTTCTCTAACTATCCAAAAGGGAACATTGTAGGAAATATAGATACATCTGTTCCATAGAGTAATCTTGTGCCTTAGGCAGTAAGTTCTCCTACCTATAGTTTCTACCTCTGGGTGCAAGCCAGGCTCATTCTTCAGTTATAGCCATTTTCATAGCCAACAATAACTGAAAAGGGGAAAACAGATATGGTGGCTTTAACCTTAAAAGACACTTCATATCATCTGTCTCACTTTTAATTGTTTAAGTCTTTTTCATCAGAAGGCAGATTCAAAAGAGGCTGTGAAATATAATCTCTGGTTTGGAGACCTATGCACTAAGCAAAATAAGCATTTTTCCATTATTAAATAAAGTAAAAAATAAAAAAGATAAAAGTCCACCCATCTTTGTAACTGCAAAAAACATGGCTAGAGCATTAAGCTAAGCCTAGAGTAAAAGATTGAATAATGAAAAGAAATATTTTAGGACATAGATGATAGTCAATGTAAATTGAAATTTCTGTTCTTTTTACATTTTCAAAGAAGAAATTTTGACTTTAACCACTTACATTTCACTCCATTTTGGAGTGTTATACAGATAAATTTATTGGAAAATCCAAGAAATATAGCTTAATCTTTTCTAAGGTAAATTATCACATACTACAATTGTCTTCACAAATTATTGGTCTTTAGTCAAAGATGCATCAACTGTATATCATCCCCCCAACCCCATGGCTCAGAAGTAATGCAGCAAGAGAGGAGAGAAAGTTTGTAAGAGCCAGAGGTAGTAGGAGACTACCACAAAACTGTTCTTTGAATACAACAGGCAGCTGCAGGTGTGAGTTCATTGTGTTTGGGACAGTGCTTATGTACTTATCACTTACCAGAGCATTCATGTACAAGACCTGTTCAAGATCATGCCTGAGAATCCTAGCAAGGAAGCGGGAGATATTAATGAATTTTCACCATGGCTGAGGAGTTTTTACAATTGATGACTCCTAGCAGAAAGAGTCTTTGTCAGGGATCCAGGCTATGAGATGCTACATATGCCCCAGTAGATGGTCCTGAACACAGGTACATACAGGTAGCACTAAAGGAACTCAGTGGATTTTAAAAACAGAGCACATGAAACTGGGAAAGAAAAGTGGTGATGAGGAATTATAGGGTGGAACACGGGAGTTAATTTGATCAAAGCACATATTATGAATATATGAAATTCTCAAACAATAAAAAGAAAAAATGCTAGTCTTTACATATTTATGTTTCATGGCATTATGATTGGATGTGAGGAAGTAAATAAAGTATATTTAGATTGTTTGCATCCTTGAACTGTATGAGATGTGAATGGCACCTGCCATAAATGGTATCCTTTAGGAGGATTCACAGAGGAAACATTTTGAAGAAAAATCCATAAAGGAAATTATGGACCAACCAAAGGGAAAGGTCTGACTGAGAATGTGATCTCAACAAAATCGAGCCCTGCCTTGCCCTTCATGGGAGACTGCTCACAGAGACAACTGTGCCTCCTGAGAGGAGTGAGTCCTCATGTACCCTCATATCAAGCATTAGATATGAGCCACTGTGGAGAGCAGGAGGGACATGCATAGTGTTCTCTGGCACTCACATTGCACTCATCAACCAGCCAAGAGCAATTTTCAATCTGCCACCCCTCAGCATTATTTACAGCTGAAGGTCTGGGAGGGCCTGTTGCTTACAGAAGTAGTATGAAGCAGCACAGTTAGCATTTCCAGTGGACAGAAAAGTATCCTCCACAGGAAATGCCACATGTCCATTAACTTTCCCTCATTCCTTGAAATAGTTCACTTCAAGTGGGCAGTTTTCACACAATTTCAAAAACATACTTCCTAGGGAAACATAAAAGATGTATATTCTGAGGATCTGTAACCCGGTTGCTACATTTGGTGCTAAAGCTGTAGTCAGTACATTCTCCTCCCTCCTTGTCTTCTGTTTTGGATATCCTCACTTTGAGTCACTCTTTTATTACCAGAAGTCTAACCTGGTGGCTCCAGCACTGTCTGAGGACCAGATGCTATAAAAACAGCTATGTTCTACTCCTCTGGCTCTTAATTATGAATTTCTCCAGGCTTTTTGTCAAAACATAAAAAAAAGGACAGTGCTAGAGCAAAGGTAGTTTAATCTGCAAGGCAAAAACACTAGTAGACTTTGTTCTGGTTGTAATGCAACACTTTTCAAATCATGATTGTTGTCCTTTGCAATTTACAGTTGAGCTGACTATGGAGCGCCCAGTAGCGTAGTAGACTGAGTGTCCCATTCTCATTATACAGTGGCTATCTTACTTCCTTTCTCGGATAAGCTCAAGCACACCTACAAGTCTGAAGACCTCCAGGATTTCTGAAAATTTGTTATATTACCCTGAAGTCTGCCACTTGAAAGGTATCCCTACATCGCAATTTTAACAACCATTTTTCATAGAACTACATTGTAGCAAGAGCCCATTTTAGGCTTCGGTCAACATATGTGCCAACCCATCCACAAACAACACTTGGTTTTCTCTTTTCAGTAAATTATAGAAAACCTATCATGAAAGTACAGAAATAAACGACTTAAGAGGCATCCACAGGAAAATTCAGGTGACAGGGGATGACAATCTTGCTTGTCAGAGTTCCCTGGATCTACTGGAGACCAATTCCAGATTTGTCACTTCCATCTTAGAAAGAAGTGTTGCTGGGTACTGTAATGATAGCTCTTTCTGCCACCCACCTGAGTTCCACTGCCACGTTAGGGCCCCCAAATAACATACAGAGTCTTATATTATTTACAGGGCTGCTGGCCAACGACTAGGATTGCTTATTTGCTAGCTCTGTCTTAAGTGTCAACTGTAACCATTAATCTATATATTTTATAAAGACTTATCTTATCAAGGACACCAGCAGCATGTGTCCTCTCTTCCTGGGATCACATGGTGACTCTCCTCTTTACTACACTTCCCAGAATCCTACTTGACTCCTAGCCCCACACATCTTGCTTCCCTATTGGCCAACAGTTCTTTATTTATCACCACTAAGGCAAATATATACACAGAAGGACTTCCCCTATCAAGGTACACCTAGAATTATGATTTATGGGATAGGAATACCAGTTTCTGATGAAGAAAATATTCATAACATTACATTATTGACTGGAAAAATCCCCTGCTTTCAGAGCTTGGTCACATACCAGAAACTGAATTATCTGCTTCAAATGACAGACTGTGCCATAGCCCTTAGGGGTGTGACATGCATTGGGTTTCCTTTCAGTGGCTTGCCAGAAATCATGTAACAATTGATGACACAGAATAAGCATTCTAGGATACATGGCTGAAACCCCTACTTTGCTCTAGAAATACATCCAAAGATTTCTGCAAAAACTTGCTGCCTCCAAATCCCAAAGAAACTGTTAAAGCACTCTGCTTCCATTTTATCAGTTAGGGTTGAATAGGTAAAATTTACCTTTGCAAGGGACAGGATATCCTAGCATTCATCAGATGTCTCCATCTCTAAAACTTCTAAGGGTAACAAACTTCAAATTTTGCATGCTTAGACTTCTTCATGTCTTTACTTTGGTTTGGACTGGTTTTGAGGGAGAAAATTCTCAGCTAATCTTGATCTCATAATCTTTCCATCTCCACTTCTGCCACTGAAGTACCTGGGATCCCAGATGTATGTGGCTATCTGAGTTTTCATCCTCTCAGGTGCATTTTTCTTAGCCAGGCAGCCAGAGTGTCTTCTTGCTTTTTAACTGGTACAATGAACACCATGAGTGTGAGTCAATGAGAAGTTTTGTGAGACCTCTGAATTACATGAGGAATTAGTTTGAAACATGTTGAAAAATATGCCAAACTGTTTGTTATTTGGAGAAAATAATTTTTGCCAAATGAATTATAAATGTAAAAATATATTTAAAATCACAGTGACATGTATTTGTAATCCCAAGTACCTGCAAATTCAAATCAGGAAGATCATTTGAGCACAAGAGTTTGGGACCAGCCATATCCCAAACAAATAAATAAGTGATCTTTTAAGGAAAAAGAACATATCCTTGACATAACATATTCTCCATTTTAACACTTTTACCATCTTATTTTTTAAAATAAAAATTTAAATCAGTGAGAATAAACAAATTATGTAATAAGTGTTGAAATGACATAAAAGGTTTCAGTTTTGTGTTCTCTAATTGAAAAATGGAGGCTCATTTGTATAAACATTTCTTGACAGATCTAGCATAGTTAATTGGATGAATGTCTACTCTCTCCTAGAAAGATGTCTTATAGGAAACTGTGATTTTTTTTTTTTTTACCTATTTGTCAAGGTAGCAGGAAAAATTATAATTCAAAACAACTTATCTAATAGGTATTACTTCAGAAACATTTCCCAAAGAAAGTCATCTTGCATTGAAAAAAAGGACCCAGAATCTAATACATAGATGTTTCAATGTTAAAAAAAAGAAAAAGAAAAGAAGCTGTGAAACTATAGTCTCGAATGAGGCTCAGTCAGTTCTAGCCTTTTTGATGTACAAGACATAAAATACAAACCAAGACAGAGCAGAGTCTCTGTTACTATCTGTCATGGATCACATGAACATCACAGGGAACTGATTTGAGGCTTTGCTCTACGAATCTTTGGGTGGGGGAACCAGCTAATCATTGCACACGGAAAGGATTTGAGAATCAAAGAACCAGAACTGGATGTAATGCCCAGCTCTAGGAGATCAGGCAAGAATCTCATCCTGTCTTACTTGAAAGGTTGTTAAGACACAGCAGCCAGGATGCAGTATTCAGCAAGATGTGTTATTCTTTGCTGCAGAATCCATGTGATGATAAACGACACAAAGACATCTGGTCCAGGGAGAAAACGTGTGATCATTTACCAAAATTCCTTGTAATTGGGCCTCAGAAAACAGGTAAGGCTGGGCAGTAATGCTTTTTGCCTTGTTGTCATTATTAAGTACTTGGTGGAATTACATTATAGGATCTTGTTCTGTGTCCTATGCAAATTCTTTGAACAAATGCTGCACCTTCTCATGATTCCTCTGTTATCCTACAAGCCTCAAAAGACCCTATGGTTGCCATTAGTTAGACTTGAACTCTAAATGTTTTAGCTATAGAGTTTAAAATTGTTTAACCTAAGTATCAAAGTTTTGATATTTTTGAGTTTAAGTGCCACAATCTCCCTGGTTTTTTACTTTTTGTGGCTTTCCCTAATTAATCCCTGACTTATGAAAGGATGACATGATTCAGACTCAGACTGTTTTATACTGTACATCAGCATTGCATTGATTTCTGTTCAGAACTATGGTTGTTATTACTAACAAATTATTTTATATGTGTATTGTTAAGAACAATCATTAAGTATTAATGTGCTGTAAGCTTGTTTTCTGCTATGCACCAATCTCCCTAGGCCATTCTCTCTTGGTATTTTCTTGTGCACTGAAGGACAACTGTAAGGATGTAGTAAAAGAGAATGAAAGTATTTCACCAATGAGATGACACTTTCAATTAGAATATTTTATACTTTCTTCAGTGTGTGACAGTTTTATATACTTTGCTTATATCCTGATTAATTAAAGTTTTTATGGAGTTGCTGTATCTTGAATTCACTACTTGGACTTGAAGCACCTTCATCAGGGAGAACCCAAACCATAACACAAAATACACAGTCACAATAAATAAGCTGCAGTGAAGACATTTGTAATACAAGCAAGTAGATCATTTTAAAGGTTGTGGGTAAAATTTCCAGACTATTAGGTATTGGCTGTTGAAATCTTTTCTTCCTCTAGGAATACAAATTGTATTACAACAGTGAATTAACACATGTACAGGGAGGGGGGAAAGCAACATATATTTTCAGATATATCATGTTTTTGTTGTTTAAAATGTGCATTAATTTCCTGCCAACTCCCTACAGCACCGCTAACTTGAGAATAAATAGTAAAGAAATAAAGCATCCCTGTGTTGTAAAATTTTGTTAAAATTTAATTTAAAGACAGACCCTCTATCATTTGTCATTGAATATTATTGCTGCTTAGTTATGCTAGAAAACCACACGTTATTAACTATAAATCTTTTTTCTACTTATTGTTTGTATTTATAAAACCAATATGTTATACCTTTGGATTTTATTATGTGGCCTATACATGTGGCAATGATAAAGCTTTCAGCTGTTTTTGTTGTTGTTCCTGCTGCTTTTTTTTCTTACTTTCTCAAATAAAACAAGAAGTTAAAGAAAGCAGAGGAACTGCATATCCACATCCATATGACATAGGTACATTATTTAATATGAAAATGGCTCTAATAACTTGAAACATCCAATCATAGATGTCTTTCCTTGATATTAGCAAAACATCCATTGCTTTCAAGAGATCATCAGTCTTCTGAAGGGAGCACACTTTAAAAATTCAGCAACCCAAGCATGATACAGTCACCCCTTTCAATAAACATGAAGTACAAAATTGGGCCTTACAATCCTTTTACAGTTGGGAGTACAGAAGGACGTAACATCCCATTTTCCCATTACTGAATCCTAGATGTGATCCTCTGCTGAGATCAGCCAGGGGATGACAATGGACAGAAGACAGAGGAGTCTGGGATGCAAGGCATTTCACACCATGTCTCCAGCTTCCTCCAGACTGTTCTGCACCCTCTCACTCAGAAGCAGTGTTTCCAGTATGAAAGGGGCTTTCTAGTATCATCACACTTAGCAAAGGATTTGAAGTGCCATTTGTTCAGTACTAATTTCTCATAATTTGTCTGGCTCAGCCTGGCAAATTAAAAGTAAAGGGTTGTTCCTGTAAAAACAGATTTTCTTGAGTGTTACTAAGACAAAACCCTTTCTTCCATTTCCACAAATTCGGACAAAGGGGTTGTATGACAAATGACTGACAAGAATGATAAAAACAGAAGATAAAAATGCAAACATTTTGTCTCAACAGATGTAGAATTCATGGCTGACTTTAGGAACATCAAGCCATAGGTCTCTGATCCCTGGCAAAGTGCATTCCTTCTCTGCTACCAGAGGGAAAAGGGGACACATCACATCTTCTAGATTCTGAAGGCATGAAGGTGTAGGGCTCAAATCACAAGGGCAGAGTTGGGTATAATTTCAGTCATTGGGTGATTAAAAAATTCTTTTTTTCTGGGTGAGGTCATAAAATACCTATTATTGGATATTCAACAATAACTTTAAAGCATTCGATAATCTATGCCCTGACCCAGCCATGTTCAACCCCTAACAGATATTAAGCTATCAATTTTCAAAGTTCTTTTGTAGGTCTTCAGAAATAGCAAGCCTCTTGCAACTCTCATCTCTCTTTTTCCTCATTAAATGTAATTTTTGTAAGTCTGAAACACAATAAAGGAACCTCCTGGATTTCGTGTTCCACTCCATTTTCCAGTCTGCCCTTTAACTCATTTGTCTCTAGAATGTGTGGTTCTTCCTCTCACATTTTCTCCTTTGTGAGCTATTGTTTTCAGGAGCAAATCAGATTAGTTCTTGAGACTCCTCTCATAACTTTAATAATTGTATTTTTCCCTGTGCTTGAGATGTTTCTTCTGGCTGAGGTTCAGCTTCTTATCAGATGGTATTCACTTCTTAACCATCTATTTCTCATTATCTTTTTTCCTTCACTGATTTATGTATTGAGTATCTCTTAAATAATAAACCTTCAAATGGGTGCTAGATTTGCCTAAGAATTTTTTCTCTTTTAAATTCTTTCCAAGTGAGTTGGCTTGGACTCTTTCACTCTTCTAGGATGGAAATAAGGGGTTGTCTTCCCAGGGTCAGCAGATGTGAGATACTGTGTACCACACCTGCAAACTTCTGTGATTTATAGTTCTAGACACTCAGCAAGCTCCATGCTTTCACAGCTGGAAACTGACTGCTGTAGTTGGTCAGATCTGAGGAAGCAGTGAACCTTTAAAGTCAGGAGTTGTGCCCTCTGCAGGTGTAGACCACAGCTCCAATGATAGGACTCTACACATAGGACGAAATTTGGAAATTCCAAGGTGACAAGGCACACTGTTTCAGTGATTTGGCTCTCTGCAGCTTTTTCTTCTCAGGTCTTAAACTTCTCTTCAGTTGTTTTCTAATATTTTCACCATTTTTGTAATTTCCAAAGTGTATGCTATCAGACATTTTTGGGAACATTTTAGCCACATCCTGGTAGCTAAATAACCTCTGGTCTTTCAAAGTCAGAAGCTCTGAAATGTGCAGCTAGTGCTTTGGTATCTAAACTTTGAGTGATAGAAACCTCATTAATATCTTCTGGAGTTACTATCTGGACTCCTTCTAGACGCTAGTGTCTAGACCTGGAAGCCCAGAATTCCATCTGCTTTTAGTGTTATTGTCAGTCATCACTAGTCAGCATGAAAACAACTGGGCAATGAAATATCATCCACTTACTTAAATACCATCTACTTGCCATTTTAAGGAATGGGGAGCCTGCTTACTTAGTACGGAGACCCAGATTCAAGCTTGCTCCATACCAGGAACTCACCATTATAACCTATATACCAAGAGCCCTGGAAAAACTTGACTGAGACCATCCATTTGTCCTGTATTTGAGACTAACAACCAGTCCACACTGCTTTTGTTGCCTGTGATTTCTTGGGTGTGTTTTTCCTAATCAGATTGACATAGTCTTTCTAGTTCCATAGTAATCACAAATTCCTTTATCTGTTTTTCACTTATTTCTCTTTCAATTTTAATGGATAGTTTTGCTGGGTGTAATAGTCTGGATTGATTGTTTTGATTTTTAGGACTTGGACTATGTCTTTCTGGGCTTTTTGAATTTAAAGGTTTACATCAAATTATCAAATATTCAGGAAGATACTATGTTTAGAAAGACACTATTCCATAGCATGGTTAGCTATTGATTTTTGTTTTGCAGAGATTTGAAGTTACAGCCTCTATGTTATGTCTTCTGATTATAAAATATAGCCTTTTTGTCTTCAGCAGCTTGGCATAGGAGCTTGGTGCAAATTTTTCCTAGCAGCGAAAAATTCTGGAATTGAATGACATCATAAGTCAAGTGGCCCTCAAAGATATCTATAGAACATTTCACTTGACATTAAAGAATACACATTCTTTTCAGCAACCAATCGAACTTTCTCTAAAATTGAACACATTTTAGGATATAAAACAAGTCCCAACACACATAGGGAAATTTAAATAAAAACATGCCTTCCATCTGTTCACACTGGAATAAAACAAGGTATTAACAGCAATAGAAATGACAGGAAAAAATAAATGAACTCACAGAAACCAAATCAACACACTCCTGAATGTTAACTATATTTGTGTCAAGGAAGAAATCAAAAAGGAAGTTTAAAAATCCCTATAATTTAATGAAAATAAAAATATAACATACCCAAACATATGGAAGACAGCAAAGCATTATAGTACCATGGCCCTGTATCAGAAAATATGAAAACTCTCAAGTCAAAAACTTAATAATGCATCTTAATGTCTTACAATACCAAAGCAATGGCCCTGTAAAGTAAGTCAGAAGGTATAATCACAATCAGAGCTAAAATCAATAAAAACAGAAATAAAAAATTACAAAGAATCAATGAAGTGAAGAGTTCATTCTTCAAAAAGTTACAAGATTGACAAAAATCTAGTCAAATTCACAAAAATAATCAGGGAGAGGATCTAAAGGAACAAAACTGAATATGCAAAGGAATAGACTTCCACAAAGCCTGAGGAACTTAACATAATCATGAGGACATACCTTACAAATGTATATTATTCAATAAATTGAGAAATCTAAAAGAACACACACACACACACACACACACACACACACACACACACACGGTAACCATGTATATAATATGTATCCTAAAAAACATTATGTGTGTGTATACAATGTCTTTTGAAAGCTAAATAAAGTTAAAATATTTAAATATACCCATAGTATTTGATATGATAGAAGTGGTAATTTAAAATGTTTTAACTAAAAAAATCCAGGGGTCAGATGGATTCCATATAGAATTCTACCAAATCTAAGGAAAGAACTTACACTAATACTTCTCAAACTATTTCATAAATAAAAAATGAAAGAACATGTCTGCATTATTTTTACAAAGCCAGTATCACCATGATACAAAAATTTGACAAAGATCTATTTAAAATAGAAGAATATAGGTCAGTCTTGCTGCTGAACATAGAATGCACAGACTCTCAATAATATACTTGAAACAGAATTGAAGAACACAGCAATAAGGTTATCTATAAAGATCAAGCTGACTTTATCCCAGAGATGCAGGGATTGCTCAACATACAGAAATAGTAAACTCATTTGAGTAAAACAAGACCACAGCAAACATCTTTTTAAATGAGGAAAGTCTCAAAGTGTTTGCATTAAAATCTGGAAAAAGCGAGATGTCCACTCTCCCCCATGCCTGTTCAATACAACATTTGAACATTTGATAAGATAAATGAAGACATAAAGGGAATATAAATAGTAAACGAAGGAGTTGATAAATGCATTCAGTAAAGTAGAAGAATACAAAATTATTATACAACATTCAGTATTCTTTCTATATGTAATAGAAATAACAAAAATATTGAGGAAGAAATAAGGAAACAAGATCTTTGAATATTCAGTTACATGTGTTTCATCTGGAATATATATAGAGGTCATGAAATTCACCAAAGTCTGGGAGGTCAAGCTTTTAAGGGATGGGAGATACAGTGCAATTGTATAAGGGATTAAAGGAGAAAAATAGAAAGACTGAAAATACCCATACAAAAATTATAAGGAAATACCATTTTTGGAAGGTCACATCAACACAACTTTACAAGCCATTGCCAATTTTATTGGTTACCCTATAGAACCTGATGGTAAAACTCTATTGCTAAAGATACCACATGCTTGAGTCTTAAACCATGAAGAAATCAAGCTAGTACTGACCCATAAGCTTCATCCATTCTGATTTACTTCCATGATTCTGAATACTGCTACTGAAGGAGAAAGGAAATCATCCATTTTTCCAGCTCTGCATTCATAGAACTAATACACTTAAATGGCAAAACATACCATACACACTGGTGCAATAACATCCTGGGAGTAAACAAGTTCTTTCTGATTGGAATTAAGGGCTTCTCCTCAAGATGAAACCCATACCTAGCAACATTATCTGTACCATGAATCTGTGGGACTCACAAGAGAAATTACTACTATTTCTTTATCAAATGAGAGTAGTACTAAACTACCTACTAGTGACTTATTATTATACCCATGGATTAAGAAATTTTCTTTTGCAATAGATGAAAATTAACAGACAGACCTACAATTTGTCAAGCTGTAGACTATGAGGACTGTTGACTGTGAAGGCCTAAATGAGACATGCATAACAAACCCTCTTTTCCCAATGCTCAGAGATAAGAGGGTATGGAACATCATATATCTAAGAGCACATAGGTAGCAAAAATTGGATTTGATGGCCTAAAAATTTTTTTAAAATATACAAGGGTGAGTGATTAGGGAAGATAGATCTGGAAGGCATGAAGGAGGAAAGAGAGGATGAATAATATAAGAATGTAATGTATAAAATTTTCAAAGAACTAATAAAAATTTGTGATAAAAATAAATTCATTGCAAGATAAAAAAAATATTTTAGGGGGGCATTGTGTTGCAACATGAAAAGTGATACATAGAAGAAACAGCTTCCCCACCTAACCCAAGACTAATCTGTAGCCTGATTCTATTGTTTAAAAAGAAAAGTCACACTTGTGATCAGATTTTAATTTTACTAATATATTTATGCACATGACTTCCAGTGCCACCAACCACAAGCCTTACATAGGAGTCAATCACAAGCCCTGCATTTATACCACCTGGGGGCTCTTTGCCAAATCACTTGGGAAATGCTTCCTGAATGAGAAAAGCTTCAGAAAAAAAAATGCATCTCAAGTTCACAGACTCCTGAGTGCACACACTTAAGATCTTGTCTCAAAAAGAAAAATAAAGAGAGAGAGGGTAAAAGAGAAGAAGGGAGAAGGGAAGAAAGAAGGGAGGAAAAGGAAGAAAGAAAAGAGAGAGAAAGGCAAAGAGAGAAAGAAAGAAAGTAGGAAGGGAGAGAGGGAGGGAAGGAGGGAGGGAGAGAGGGAGGGAGAGAGGGAGGGAAGAAGGGAGGTCAGGAAGGGCAGAAGGAAAGAAGGAAAGAAAGGAAGAAAACAAACTACACCCAGGTTCAGCATGCCCAGGGACTAGTTTTTCAAAGCCTGTGTGTCCTAGTTTGTTTGTGATAAGCACCACAACCCAAAGCAACTTAGAGGACAGTGTTTTATTACTAACATGCCCAGATCATAGTCTATCACTGAGAGAGCCAAGGGAAGACCTCAAGGCAGAAACCTGGGGTCAAGACCAGAAGAAGAAACCAAGAGATGCTTCTTACTGGCTTGCTTCCAAGCACATATGTATCTGTGTGTTATGCCTTACTCCCCAAGAACACCTATGCAGAAGTAACCAGAACCCCCCTCCCTCATCAAACATTATTCAAGAAAATTCCCCTTAATCTAGCCTAGAGGCCCACCCTGACAGAAGTATTTTCCCAGTTGAGGTGTCCTCTTTCCAGATGTCTCTAACTTGTACTGAGTTTCTGTTTTATTTGTTTTTTCAAGATTTATTAAAACAAATAAAAAATAACCCATACAGTGTGCAGGTTGTCTTAGAACACTTTCCAAAGAAGATATGTCTTGGCTGACAGCTCCCAGTGTAAGACATCCATACATAGTGGGTGGGGCTTGGTGTTCTCATTCAAGGGGCAGAATGTCTGTTACCTATAATTTTGTTTATTCAGAGGAATAATTAATTAATTAAAGAGTATTCATAAAAAAGACTCATGAAATTAAAACCTGCAACAGTGTTTATTGTTACTTAAATACCATCCACTTGCCATTTTAAGGAGTGTTTTGTTACTAATTAGATTTAACCTATCAATTTAGGGCCACATGTTTAATAAGTTTAAAATGCTACATGTTTAATATTCCTTGCATGCAAAGTGATTGCTCCCTTAGGTCTGTTGTGAGTGTCCTTAGCTACTCAAGCCTCTGTTCACTCCTTCCATTATCCATGTACTAGACTCAAGAACACATGTGAACTTCAAGTTTATTGAAGTCAACACATGTGCTTTTCTGATCAAGAATTATCACCCATCATCACTCCTGTGACATATAATGAATATCATATCAACTTCTGTCAAGTATTTCAATCTACCTGACTGAAATTAAACGTCAAGCAGTGATTCACCAAATACAATAGCCAAAAAATAGAGAGGCTACCTATAACGATGACACTTGACTCCAGAGGGAAATTGAAACACAGATTTCTGAAATTCTACTTTGAATGGATTTCTCATCTACTTTACTTTGCCTATGTACCAATATTAAGTCAGATACTTAGATAAATAGAATCACAAAACTACTGGAAACCCATTAGTAGTAGTAGTAGTAGTGGTGGTTTTGGTGGTGGTGCTGGTGGTAGTGGTGGTGGTGCTGGTGGTGGTGGTGGTGGGGGGGGTGGTAGTTTGGTCTTTTGAGACAGAATTTCTCTGTATTGCTTTGGAGCCTTCCTGGAACTCACTCTGTAGATCAGACTGCCCTCGAACTCATAGAGATTCGGCTGCCTCTGCCTCCTGAGTGCTGAGATTGGAGGCATGCGGCATCAATACCTGGCCCCAGTTTGATTATTATTAAAATGAAGTGCATCTATTTAGTGCTAAGAAAACATTGGAAAGAATTGGTCTACTGGATTTCATTTTTGGTTAAAATATGACACTGTTAAACCAATCTTTTCTTTTCCTGACATGTAACATGAGTCTTCTTTTCTGTGCAACAGGAACAACTGCACTTTATTTATTTCTTCTTATGCACCCTTCCATCATCAGCAATCTCCCTAGCCCAAAAACCTTTGAAGAAGTTCAATTTTTTAATGGCAACAACTATCACAAGGGAATTGAGTGGTAAGAATAACAACAACAAAAAATGAACTCCAACATTAACACATGCTCCATCATTGCAGAGCAATTACAGATGTGTGCATGGCATCTGCATAATTACAGAATAAATTTGTTATGCTCAATTCTACCACAGTGAATTAGAAATTAATTTATAATGATGATATGTTTAATCAGTGTTGCTTATAATTTGATTTGGACAGTGCAATAATGATAATATTTTTCTGGTAAGTTAATATGATTGAATAACGAACATTGTGGGGTATTTTTTATCAAAATTATTCATAAGGATATTTAAAATTCTCTTTAAGCATGCTCTTATTTTACAGTTTCTCCATTTATTTTATTAAACACATAATTTGTCTTCACAGTGATGCCTGAGGTTGCTTTATTTTTGTTCTCTGGGACATGTATCTTCATTAACCACATGAGCTGTGTATGTTGTATTGCAATGTAGGCAATATTTGTCATGCAAATTATAATAGAGCTTTTCCTAAACCATATCAATTCCACTCACACACACAAAAGAAACATTAATTAGCACTTGATAAATGGTAGCAAACACTTAAAATAACAATACTTTCCACAAGATAAAGTAGAATAAACTTAATATTGGAGATGGTATTCAGTCTGATGATTTTTTTTTCTATCTGTATCCTAATTTTCCAAGAAATTATGATCCTGGATTTGATCTCCTTAGATTTATATTCCCTAGGCATATAAGGCAAATCTCATATGGGAAAGATTGCTTTAAATACACAATTTGAAGCATTTAATTTTTTGCTTTACCATAATACATGAACCTTCTAGTATTAAGGCCTCACAAGGGCAATGCCAGTGTGCAGATCTTACTTCTCATTCCAAGTGAAACTGTGTTCACTTTGCCTCTGAGACATTACTACCCTATCTCACTTTTACATTTTGGAATTACATGTAAATTATTAAAGAAAGAAAAGCAGTTTTCTCTTATCTCTGAGCTCAAATGGAACAAAAAATTTTAAGCAAGAATACAGATGAGATTCTTCAGTACTCTTCATTTGGGAAACATAATAACAAATGTCAAAGAGGAAAATAAGTGCCTTCTATGGATTCTTAATTGCTCTCATTATTTTTTTCTAGAACATTTGAGGGTGAGAGAAGTGATGAGCTGTAAAGAGGGTTACACACATAATTAAAGCCTTGTACTGAATTAGCTTCAGAACATATTGATTCCATAATATACACACAGAGGAATGTTCCGACAGCATATGGAGGAGTGAACCTATGGAGGCATTGCAGGATCAACTGACAGGAAATAGCCCCTTAATTACTCCAGATAAATTATAATGTGATATTACTGCATATATTACCAAATTTTATAGAAGTTAAAAAGGAGAACAGCAGCTATGCCTTAATCTGTCTAATGCTTTATAGCTATTTTGACTTTCATGTCTTTCTGTCTTATGATCTTCAGTCTAACCTTAAGAAACTTAGTATTCAAATCTGCAAACACACATTTACCATTTAAAGTGTCTGTCAAGGAAGATGGTACAATATTGTACTTTACAGGCATAATCTATAATTTTAGACTTGGTTTTTGACTGCATGGAATATCAGCTCAAATCCAATGTATTATCCCATCATTCATTACCACCTCACTTATCTATTTCACTCTTTCCTTTGCCTTAAATAAGTCTGAAGTTGCTTTCATTACATTCATTACATTCTGGGTTGCTTTCACATTAGAAGTACACAGCATGCTGAGTATTTGGATGATGTTATGACACAATAATTTAAACTTTATGCAAACAAATATAAGACCTGTTCAAATTCTTCCTATTTGGGATTGCAGAATAAAAAGAATACTGCTCAGACTAATTGATTTTTCTCTTCTTACCTGCAGGTATATGGACTTTTTTCCTACTCCTTCCAACATTACCAGTGATTTCCTATTTGAAAAGAGTGCTAACTACTTCCACTCAGAAGAGGCTCCCAAGAGAGCTGCATCTCTTGTTCCCAAAGCCAAGATCATTACTATCCTCATTGACCCCTCGGACAGGGCATATTCTTGGTACCAGGTATGAATGAAGAAGAGTAGTGCTAAGTACATTTAAGTATAGCTTGAATTTATCATTAAATAAATATAAAAATTCTTAAGCCAAAAAAGACTGTGTCTGTCTATCCATTCATCTATGAATGCATCATTTCATTCAACTATAAAGAACTAAATATTTAAGTCACATAGAATCACTACACTTATTTTAAACAGAAAATAACAGAATAAAGTAATAGTTGTGCAGTGGTGGCGCACTGCTATGGAAGCATAAGCCAAATAAACCCTTTCATCTCGAAGTTGCTTTTGGTCATGGTGTTTCATCATAGCAATGGCAACCTTCACTAAGATACAATTGCATATAAATCTTTGTATATGCAATTTGTATATGAATTAGGTAGTATTTAAAACAAATGGATTTATGTCGATTTGCCCTATAACTTCTCATTTATTTTTTACCATAAAGGTATTTTTATTTGTTCTTAGAGTGAAATATAAATAATGTAACGGAGAGTCAATAAAACTATTTTTCACTATGAGATCACTGTAGAATTTTAAAAAGAAAATCCTTTGTGAAATATATCTCTGCTGATTTCTACTCATTCTTGTTTGTTCCTAGGCTGGTTCACTTTTTTATTGTTGTTTTACAAACATCAAAGTGTATTAATGCTTGTATATTTTGGTTAAAATATTTTATTATCTCAAAATATTACACATATATACAAAGTATCTTGTTCCTTTCCGCTCCTTACTTCACAACTTACATTCCTTGACATCTAACCTTCCAATTTTATGTCTTTTTGATTTTTATTTCTTTTAGTCCATTGAGTCCAGGTAGTGCTGCCCATATGCACAAGAGTGCTAGAGTCATCCACAGGAGCATGACCAGGTTACCAGTAGTCACATTCCTAAAAACAAGCGACTCTCCCTTTCCTAGCAGCCATCAATTGCCAATAGCTTCTTGACCAGGGGTGGATCTTTGGGAGCTCCTCCCCAATCTATGCTGAAATCGAGGTTCCCTCCTTTCAGAATACTCTAGCCCGTATCCAGTTGACATAAAACTAGCCAGCAAATAATGTATAACATGCAGAAAAGTGAACAAGAAAGGCTAAAAATTAGAGGATATAGGAATGCCAAATGTAGGCAATGAATGTAAGTTATGAAAGAGAATAAAAAGATAATTGTTTTTCCATTTCTAACTCTAGCATGGATTTTTCAGCTTTGGTGTGGATAAGTGCATAAAATATGTTCTATATTGAAAGTATAAAATCAAATATGAAGTCCCATAGCTTCAGAATTTCTATTTAACTGTATAGAAGTTCATTAAGATGTATAGACTTTAGGTCTGGGTAATTTGGGTGTGTGAATTTCTTACTTGCAAGGCTTTTATAATAGAGTTAATTAAAAAATATCAAAACACTGAGGTGAAAACTTTAATTAAAAGTTTTAAATTCAGATATTGTGAGAAAGAATGCTGAATGTTTAATCTATTTAAGGTAGACTGAAATGAATGTTTTATATAGATTAAATCACTTGAATGAAATAGAATGTACACAATACAGTGCTTATCTGTGACTACTTTCCAAATAAATTTTTTGGATACACAGGTTTAAGGGGAATTATTTTTTCTGATAATACTTTTTATTGACTGTATTGCTGAAGCAAGGTCCCCAAAGTGCTCCACATTTCAAAATAATGTACCCTATTACTTAGCTAGACCCGTCCTTCCAGTAAGGGCCATAAATCTGCAGCTCAGCAGGTGTAAGTCAGAAACCAGCATGAACGTCACCTGCCACTGTAATTTCTACCACACATTTTTATAATGGACCTCACAGAGGAACTAAAGTGCTATTTTTCCATAAAATATGTTCCTTTGTGACCTTCTGGTCATATTTTTATGCTAATCTTAGTTGCAGGCATATAAAGAAAATCTGACGCTAAACTTACATAAGTCAATAATAGCAGATTGAGCACACTCTGGTTACTGCTTATAACAGAAATTTTAGCCCAGCTGTACTCTATTAATATGCATATACCGCATATTCCCAATTATTTTTCCAATTATGGAATCGCTACATGTTTTGTCGTTTGGACTGGTTATGTCATCTGCATGTATTCAAACAAGACATTAGTTTCACTCATCAGGCAGTTACTTTCCACTCTTGATCTTTGACCGCTCACTAAGCTATCTTGACTCCTCTAGAATAATTTACATGTAAATTTTACTTATAAAATAAAATACCCATCTATTGCCAGGCATAATACCTATATATTACCATGCTTTTTCTAGGTTGGATTTTTCTCCACATTTACTTTTAGATATTATGCAACACTAGTTCATTTATATGCATAAATGTTGTTGTTGTTCCTCAGATGAGATGAACACATTTTCAAACAGCTGCATTATTAAATTTGTCTCTCATTTAGTTGGGCTCTTTTTTTTTGTCAAATAGTAGTTTTGTGTGAAAGACTACTAGGCTTGGATACTAAAAAGCAGGAGTGAAATAATATTTGGTGGAGACCTATAGAGTGCAAAAGTACTTACAGCTGCATTATTAAATTTGTCTCTCATTTAGTTGGGCTCTTTTTTTTTTTGTCAAATAGTAGTTTTGTGTGAAAGACTACTAGGTTTGGATACTAAAAAGCAGGAGTGAAATAATATTTGGTGGAGACCTGTAGAGTGCAAAAGTACTTCAGACAAACTTAACTTGAGTAGGACATCTAAGCAATGGCTAGGCATCAGAATCTGCCATACAGAGAAACCATCAGAAGGAACTGGGAAGGCACAGTAGGCCAGGCAATATATGAGACCTCCCCTGTCCATCTGAATTTATGCTTATCAAATTTAACTTTTGTCTCTAGCATATTTTCATTTCTAATCAGGCCCTTGTAGAAAATCCTTTCACTGTGTCTGCCTTTTGCCTACATATTTTAAAAGCAAAACAACCCTAAATATATATCTGCATATCACTTGTTATTTACTGAAATCCTGTTATTTAACATAAGCAATGTGCCAAATGCATAGGTTCATAAGCACACAAAATTATGCAAAAATTATAAAAGAAAATCTAACTCTACACTTTACTTTTCCCTTAAAGCACCAACGATCCCATGAAGATCCAGCTGCCCTGAGGTTCAATTTCTACGAAGTCATCACAACAGGACATTGGGCCCCACCTGATTTAAAAACCTTGCAGAGGAGATGTCTGGTACCTGGGTGGTATGCAGTACACATAGAAAGATGGCTGACCTACTTTGCTACTTCCCAGGTAATGGTACGAAATTAGGATCCACTTATCATATCACAATTGTATTGCACTGACACACACAGATGAGATTCTCAGAAAACAGGTAGCAATAGAGGCCATAAAAACTGTGGGGCTTTTACATATTTTTACTTTACTAATACCACTTGATGTAGCTAGATGGCTCTGAAGCACACAGCTAGGAGATTTCTTTGATGAGTAGTTGGTTTCAAGGAATACATTTTCCCAAGAGAAATGTCATATAATTCAACACTGGAAACTCAACAACTAGTAGGGAAGTCAACTAGCCAGAGACTTTGTAGAAGCACCCACATGGATTCATTCTGCTTCTCCACCATGTGAGAACCTTACTGGGAAACAAGAGGTTCTTAAACTAGATGACCATAAAGAGAAGGACCTTAGACATGGGATAGAACCACAGTGAGATCTGAGAAAAATATCCGTGTTCTTCCTTTCAGCCCATGGTGCAATTTAAGCTCCAGAGGGACTTTGGTATTTACACTCTCTTTAAACATCCCCTTGGGCAAGTTTCATGAAAGTCAGAAACATTTTCCTCTCATTCCTGGTTTTCCTATCAGTTATGGTCTGTAACAATAGAAGGGATACTTTCACCTGAGTGGTCACTCTTGAGCCACTGTCCTCAAGGTTAGGGGTGATATTTAGTAGGCTGGATGGTTAGCTGGTAATATACAGTAGAGATGAGAAACCCCTGCCTATACTACAATTTCAATGCTACAGACATTTGCATTTACTTCTGCTTATCAATCAATTTCATAATTCACCAACACAAAAACCATTTCTATGGAAAATTTTAATTATTATCTGTTAGGAAAGAAGCAAAAAGAGCAACATTTAAATGTATTCTACATAGTGCATGTTTTCTTCTTATTCAAAGTGGCCTGACTTATTAATGCCATACGAGGTCAAGAGGGGCAACTTGGTCGATTTAATTCAGTTTTGTTCTTCATAAATGACTATTTTTGGCTTTGCAGTTGCTAATTATTGATGGACAACAGCTGAGATCTGACCCAGCTACTGTGATGGATGAAGTCCAGAAGTTTCTAGGAGTTACACCTCATTATAATTACTCTGAAGCACTAACGTGAGTCTATTCTCATGCTTGATTTCACTTCCATTATTTGCCATCATAAATTATCACTGGTCTGTATTTATATAGCATCATTAATACTAGCTGTGAATTTATACATCATTCTGCTACTCAGACACAAAGAAATATCCTCATTACTCATAAGGTGTCTCCTTTTGAATAACAGGACTAGTTTACATTATAAAGTATAATTGGTTTCTTATATTATGATAAACCTCATTAAGCGGATCTCTGAGTTCAGGGCCAGCCTGGTCCATAGATCAAGTTCCAGGAAAACCTGAGCTAAACAGAGAAAACTCTGTCTTGCAAAAATGGGACAGAACAGAATAGAAATGAAGCATAGATAGTCATCATTCCCTGTGAGACAGTAAACAACATTTAGTACAGATTTGGAGACATGCATTTGTGTTTGTTTGTGCGATGCTATTCTTGGCAAAACATGAGTAAACATTTACTTACCCCAGATAGGGAACTAACAACAGACAAAATTATAGGTATCACTAAAGTTCACTTTGGTGAACCAATGAGTTTTATGGTGGTTAATAGGGGAGCAGAAATAACTCAAAGACAACTGTTATCACTAAACATCTGTCCCAGCATAGGTGACAAAAGCTTGAAACCTGGAGTATACTCCACAGCCGGCAGGCAGCTCTACAAGTTGGAAGTGTCTATTCCTGGTGCTTCAGTTGGCCTGAGCCTCTTCTAGGTAGCTCAGTTGGTCTTTGTTTCTTTTAGGCATGTGGACTGGTACCTTTTGTCCCTGGCTGCTTCTCTGGTCTCTGCTTCTGCTAGACTGATTGGTCTGTGTCTTTAAACACTGAAGCCTCTCTGACAGCCACATTCAGATATACTTATATACTTTTGGGGGGAGGTGAGCCTAATGAATCTGCTCAGTTTCAGGGACTTCCTGTAGCTAGTCTGAGTTGTTTATGTGTTAAGGAACTTCTTTGAAGCATGGGAAGTTTCACTTCCTTTGTATGATCCTCCCTGTAAACACCCTGTCTTAAAGTATCCTGTTTTTTTTTTTTTTTTATCTTACTTTTCCTATCCCCTGTCTTAAGAAGTTTGTCTTCAAGATGGAAAGTTTCAGCCTCAGTGAAAACCATTATGAAATCGTGTTTTATTCTGCATGTATTAGAATATTTATAGCTAAATTGAATCATGCAGTGTAGTAATCTATTGTTGCATTACAAACCATCACTAAACCTAGTACATATGATGGCAACCATTTTGCCATGATCATGGGTTTTGTAGGTCAGAGATCAAAAAGAAATGCACTGAGAACTGCTTGATTTTTACCCACTGATACATAAGATCATCCCTGGGAAGACTTGAGTATCTGCTTATGGCCCAAGGACTGAAATTGTCTGGATGTTCCTTCACTCACATCTTTGGTTACTGAGTCAAAGACTGAATTCAGTAGCATGAAGATTCTCCATGTTGCAAATCTCTGTCCTTGGCTTTCTCACAATGAACTGGTTGCATTCTAAAAAGGAATATAAAGAAGGACCATGTGATCTAAGATCACCATCGCTTCTGTGACCTAGACTTGACAGCCACAGAGCTTGCTTCATACTTCATTCTGTTGGGCATACCAGTAAGTAAATCAAGTCCAAATTCAAGGGATGGAGATGCAACTCCATATGTTGGCAAGGAGATATGTATACGTTACAAAAGGGCATGTGGAATAATGTATATATTGTCCTCACATCAGGGAGACAGAACTATCTATTCAAGTAATTTTAAAGTGGGGTAAGCAAGTTAATGAAGAGAAGTGCTCCAAGAGGCTGAAACACACTTTAAAAGGGCATATGATCTACTCCTACAAGACTCCCCAAAGCTCTGATATAAAGCCTATTAAATTTTAGACAAAATTCTAACAAGTCTGATTATATAATTTCCCAGTTCATAGAAGATTAGACTCAGCAATTAGACAATTAGAGAGGGTAATGGAGGGACAGGAAAAGCAGTAATGAGATTGGGTTTTTCCTTATCTGCTAAAACAATCCTAATGAAGTTCTTACCTACACATGGAAATAGCAGCCGCACCAGGCATGCCCCTGTTGATTGAGTAGACCAAGCTCACCATAATGTGTTTTGCATTAATAGTTATTGATGTTGGCATATCTTGCCCTTCTCAGCAGTAGCCTAGGTAATGGTTCTGTCCTTTTTTACTGCAAATAGTTGCTTATGGCTCAAAAAACCTGCAAAGTCATGGTAATGAAGAAGAGTTTATAAACAAGTGCAAAATATATAGATTTTAATATATCTCACATCACAAAATTTAACTACTATTGTGATATTTAGCATAATAAATGAAGTCACATGTCAGCCAACTCATGCCCTAAGAATGGTTTAACAATTATTTGAAAAGGCTTTGATCTATGTTCACAATAACATGCCTGTTAAGGTAAAATCATAAAACAATGAATTGCTCTAACCTAGAGAAATTCAGTCTGTTAGACTTACCATGTATGAAGTTAGCTATGCAATAAATAGAACTGGACCCCAAACAGTGAGGGGCACAACAACTGCATGTTTAAAAATGATCTTTGGTATTCAGCATGGCTAATTCCCCAGTCTGAACAAAGTTCGACTTACAACGCCTGCGGTGCAGAGCAAGAAAAACTCACAACTTACCGTGAGCCCTCACACAACCAGAGAGAGGACAGCATGGGTCCAGAAACCTCAACTTTGTTACCAATGTTGTAATTCACCTTAACGTGGTTAAATATTCTCATTCTGAGGCAGAAAATGCTGTTTAGGGCCATCATGCTGCCGATGTACCCATCTCATTTTGCACAGAAGGCCGAATTGTTTTTCCTCTTGGGAAATTAGTGAAAACTAGAAGAAGGCCTGTGATGCACAGGGAGCAGCTTGGAAAGTTCAGGTTGGAAATGACTCTGTTTTCTTTTATCTGTTTGACTACTGATGGATCTGACTTTAATTGGGGACATGTACAAGTACAATGTGGACAGCATGGATCAGGTTTCTCTAACAGGAAGGAAACTAAAGAAAATTTCCCTCCCACCGTAAAAGAGAACACATATGTGCAGAGCCAAATTTCAGGTGCAGTGGTGTTATAGGAATGGGCCCAGGGCAACAAACTATTCTGCAACTAATTAACTTTACATCCCAGTCAATTACGCTTCATCTTTCTAAAACATCTGCTGAGCAACAAAAATGCAAACCTTTCCCATGTTTTATGCATGCAGCAAGTCCCACAGCAATAAATTTAAATCTCCCCTTCTTATCTGGTTCATTCTTTCATTTTTCCTATCTTGTTAGTGCTCATCAGAATTTCTCATACATTTGACTTTACACAAAACAGTTAGGTCACACATCCTTCCTTTTGCAACTAAGTTGCAACCAAAGAAGTAAGCAGCATTAGAAATTCTGAGAGGTCTAGGGATCTGACCCGGTCAAAGCTACAGTACTGCTTTCCTTCCAGGCCCCAGAGTGAAGGACAGTGTCTGCCAGCAGGGCTCTAGCAAAGTTCCTTTGATCTGCAGCTGGCTGTAACCACAGGTATCAAGATGCTTTGTAGGGAGGTTGGCATGAGTCAGGCAATGCCTGTGAAATCTATCCCCTCTTTTGTTTTGGAAAATGGAATCACTGCTTGGAGCACTGGTGTGTGGCTGATCAGACTTTGTCTGGTCACTGCAGTGGACATCTTGTTCTTCTTTGACTTAGCATAAACTCTGTGTGTGTGTGTGTGTGTGTGTGTGTGTGTGTGTGTGTGTGTGTGTGTGTTTATGCTCCTGCTTGTAGTTTTTCAATTTTCTGTTTCTTGTGCTTTGAATTAGGGGCAAAAATAATCAGCTTCTGCAGTTTGGCTGGCTGGTTGTGATGATTGTGGCCACCAGTGTTTCCCACTTCTTGAGAAACTGGGCAGCACACTAGAGAGGTTTCAGACATATTGGTGACATGGTTTTTTCTTTGGATTTGCCAAAGCACTGGATGTTTGACTGACCCACAAAGAACCAGAAAGAGCCTCTCATCAACAGCGAGCAGGCTGTTGCTTTGCTGAGAGAGTCAGGGAAACATTTCTGATTAAGATCTTGTTCACTTTCCCCGGTTTTAATTAAGTTAATTTCCCTATTTAACAAAGAAAACAGTGCCTGAAAAGTTACACTAGCAACAGTGGAACTGTGTGCTCTATCCTTCTGTTTTTTGAAATGCTTACTTTTCATCAGTAAAACATTTGAAACCCATGGCATCCTCTGAGCCTTGATGGGATCTGTCATTAATCACACTCAGTCTCAGCACCAGCAACTATGATCCCTCAGCTTTTACCTTCAGAAAAACTGTGTGCCACTACACTGTCAATTACATGGTGGATCTCAATCTATTACAGGCTGTGATTTTGTGTAGCACACTGAAGTTTATCACAAAGAAAAAGTATCAGAAACATGCCAATGTCTGACTCAGTTACTCTGCCTTGGCATAGCATGGATTTCAAAGACTCAAGGAGCACTCCTCCATACACATTACATTCTCTTTTAATGAGTATTTCCAACGACTATTTTTTTTAAATGTTACTATTAGTGCAGTGCTCCACCCCAAAAATATATATACTTGATATTCTTAGAAACAACTATTTCTCTGGGCAGTGATGGCACACACATTGAATCCGACAACTAGGGAGGCAGAGACAGGTTGACATCAGTGAGTTCTGGGCCACCCAGTGTTATGATAAATCTTTCTGCCAAAAGCTGCCTGAGCCCTACCACCACGTGTGCAGTGTCTGCCAGCCGCCGAGTTCTGCCCGCTGCATGGATGGACAAAATAATACAGAGACATATTAGATACAAAACTGCTTGGCCAATGACTAGGATTCTCATCTGTTAGCTCAGTCTCAATTGTCATAAATCTATATATTTTTTAAGACTTATCAGATGCTTTATTGGCATCCCTCCTTGCTGGTAGATCACATTGCAAAGCTGGAGGAATAGCAGAGGGGAAAAGGGACACTTCCTTTTTCTCCTTTCTTA